CCCACTGTTGACGTGGCCAAGGATATGAAGAGATCAACCGAAAACAGTCGAGCCGATGCATTCCGTCTTTATAAATGTGATCCATGGGGTCAAGCACATCGGCACATAGCGACATGGCGCCGTTTCACTCGATCTGTTTCCTCTACCCGTTAGTATTTGCGTCCAGTGATTATACTTTATATGATTCCTCTCACTTCCTTTCGTTCACCTTCTCATATCACATTGAAGTTTGTCCATTTGTATTATTATGCGGGTACTGACAAATGCGTCCATCACATCTGGAAGCCCTTATTATGGCCAACCAACTGTGCTGCTTGTGGCTGTTGTTCCTAGAACCTGCGTAAGCTCACCTTCCTCTTGCTGGGGGGCCACAATGTCGGTTTCTACTTATCTCTCTCCATCCCATCTCTTTTCTCATTATAATATCACTCGATTTGAACCTGCGATAATTTTTGGTGGGTAGTCTACCTTATCCCCTCATGCTTTTCCAGTCGGAGACCCATTGCTGGTTCAAACTTCAGCTTCTGTTACAAAATGTCAACGCACCCGGTTATTTGAGCCTTGTCCACTCTCCTTCCTTTTCTTGGACAGCGGTTTCGCCATTGCCGTTTGCCACTAACATCGATTCTTTCTCTCTGTATTTATTTCCCTACATGTTGACCTTTACATCGTTGTGGAGCGAATGTCGATTCCTACCCTGTGGTACTTGTGTTTGTGCACCTATATGTAATCAATTTTCTTGTCTGATGTGTGCGACGCGAAGTGGGGACAATCTTACTGATCTGTCATGTACCTTTCCCAAGCATAGCCCCATTTATTCGCGACAATTTTGCTTCATGTATTCTATCATTGGTGATAGTTAAACATTTGTTCTAAATTTATCTGTTTACGACCAATGCGTAATCTGTGTAGGTGAACAGTTTCCAACAAAAAAATTCCCACTAAACTGGTACCTTCTAGTAACTAAATATGTTTTATTGTTGACAATGCGAGACACGCCTGCATGGGCATGATCATGGTCAATTACATACAATCACGACATAGAATTGGGCACATGGAAACAAATGTATGAAAAGTACAGCTGAAAGTGGCAATGTAAGGCAAATGCCGATTGGCAGACTTTCACAATGGACTACACGCTTGTTTACCAAGTCGGTCAGATTCCGTCACTCTGTTTATCTGAACATATCGAATGGGTAGATTTGAGGTGTTTTTGCAAATTGCGCTTCTGAACAAACGAGTAACCACAATGCTCACACGTATGGGCTCGCTGCTTTCCTTATGCCTGTCTACCTAATGGGTCAGTTACCGAAATTGTTGCTACCACGGTCCCCGTATTTCCCTCTTGGTGGTATCCATCAGCATTGTCTTCTTCCATACGTCGTCTCCATTCATATAGCAACCTTTCAGTTGCGAGGACACCTACGCCCAACACCCGCATTGATATTTCGCTGCGCCAGGTTATCATTCCATGTCCTTTTTATTCGTTACCTGTATGAGTTACACTCCGCTCCGTGTAGTTGATAAAAAATCATGATGTGTTCCACCGTGAGAACGATTTTCCCCAACTAATGGCCACTTGCCTTCCATTCTCACCTTTTTACGGAGCACAGTTTCTTATTCACTTGCGATGCATCGATTAGCAATACGGGGCCCACTTGAAGCTGTGATTAGGGTCAACTCTATTCGTACTATTACTTTCTCATCACTCAAAGCGGATCAACTCACCGTTTGCTTTTGTTGCCACCATGTTCAGGGGCCACAAACTCCTCTAACGATCGTCTACTTTGCTTTGCATCCTTGGCGAACCCGCATTACTTCGATCTGCTCACCTGTCTCTATGCGATACTCTCACCGTTTAATCTAGCGTGGACTTCTATTTCACAACCGCTGCTGTTGCAACACATACTGTGGCCAACTCTCCCGGTCTGATCACTTTCCTACCACTTTTCCCACTCTCACCTGTAACCACTAACGGATAATATCATATCGGGATTAGCCACAATTTACGGGGTTTTTCTTGCTTTTGTTGATCCTATGCCATTCACGAAAGCTAGCCGCATCAAAAAATGTTCCACTTTACCTTTCTTCCGTAGAGGCCGCCTGTCGACTTCTCAGAGGCGATGCACAGCCGAATCCCGAGTACGTTCTCCTTTTTCCACTGTACGCTTCCAATGTGCCTACCTTGTTGTTACATTTTCATCTTAGACTTCATCGTCAGCCCGTCGTTCGCATTCCCGTTGTTATCGCTGTCCACAACTGTAAAACGGGTAGATCAAGCGAATGTAATTATGGCTGTCACCTTGTCTAACTCATCTATGGACGCGGGGTGCTATCATACTGTGGTAAGCCCGGTGTTATTGCAGAGATCTGGCCAGATCACAGTGATGACAAAACGATTGACCGTCTTTGATCACTGGTGCTTCCTCACATCTGGTGAGGACACCAGGTGAGCCATACTGAGGTCCGCTAGCTGCTTTTTGCCGAGAAACCCTCTGGAGCCATTTACATTGGGGTAAGATCACGATCTCAGCGTTGACCGCTTTCATCGGTGCTCATTACATGCTGTCGCTGCACCAAGTTGGGTGGAACTACGAGGTGATCAATGGATGAAGCAGTTGACTGGATAGGCTTGGTCAAGTCAATGATTGTAGTCTTCTTGCATGGTGGCCTCGGGATGGTCCACATCAGTACTTAGTGACTCCGTGGGGCATAATTCATTCGCGCAGTCAATGCTGCTACTACATTTCGTTTCTTGCATTTAGCTGTCGACACACCCTCCCGATTGATTTTACCTACTAACTTTCTTCTGTTTTACCTCGTTTTTATTACTATCTTGGGGACACGACTCATAATAACCTGATTCACTGCACTTCGTTGTCTGATAGAACTGAACTGAGCAATCACAGCCGATCAGACGACACCCAACATCCGGATAGCCATCAGACGGCGTGACACCGTTGCGAATTTATTCAGCGAACTTGTTTGTGTGTTCGAAAGCACGATGCTGCCACTGTGAGCGGCGTTTGTAGCTTCTGATCTTTGCTGTATACTGCTGAGGCATCACCGGATAGCTTGCCTCGTAAACCGTGTGTCGATTGGCACGTTTTGCGCAGCATTCTCACTTTGGGGAGAAACTTCGGTCTGCACTTTGCCAGCAATGGATGATCCCTATTCGGTTGCATGCATCTTATTCGGCACATCGACTGTCGGCGTACCCACACTCCTGGGATTGCGTCTTCTGACTCCTCATTATCTCATCTGAAGAATGTGCACTGCTGACGATTCCCGAAAGAATGAAACAGCCACCCAGCCCGTTTCTTCATATGTGGTGGTGCCCGGTACAGTTACGATCAATTTCAGTCACACGTATTAAACGATGGTTATCATAGTGCAGCTTGGGCACACCATACATGGAACGGACAGATCATCCATAGCGAAGCGAACTTTGGCGGTAGTACACACGCTGTTACCTCTTTCCTCCTATTCACTTTTACCTGGTTTCTATTGGCTAGTCGTACTCCTATGCGGATAATTAGCAGGTTTTCATTTCACCGGCTTGAGTATCAAATTCCGGTATCATAAATATTACACTGGTTAGAACTTGTGCTTTTGCCAAGATGACGCGTAGAACCCTGTCATTCATCTATTATCTGAGGTGAATCCCTTATCCCTCATACACGGTATTCGCATTGACCTTCTTTCACTTCGAACTATTCCGCCTTTTTGCGTTCGTCTGCATATACTAAGCGCTTGGAATCCCTAGAAATCCGTGTCCGTTGTGACAGAACGTTGCTCTTTTGGCATGGAATATTCCACGAAACGTGAATTCCCCCTTGGTATTCTTCTAACCAGAGCATTTTAACTCAGCCTCACCTGTCCTTGGATACGCCATGTGTCCACAGCGCAAAATTTCTGGTTTTGCCTGCATGCGCTTTATCTCCTTCCCTCTCACTGAATGCCACAATGGGTTCACATGCCTGCCAATGCATGTGTGACCCAGCAATCGTATTTCACATTTACGATTTTTGATGTTGATGTAGGACTGTAGGACTTTTCAGCTTCTCCACTTCTATAGTTGTTGCTAACTATTTACTCTATCTTCGCTCTTTCTTTAAATTCAGTGCTTGTGCGTTAAGCAATGTTGGCCCTATCTTGACCAATCCCGCTGCTTACCTCGCCCGCTACCCACGGGCCCATCGTGGTGGATCTCCGTCCTCAGCAGACTATTCCGCCCCATCCGGCAACACTGGTTATCATTCTCCAAATAGGACCTCTCCGAGAAGTTTCCCCAACAACGATAACCCTACGGTCCCTCCCCGAGTATTTGCCAAACCCCCAAACCATCCGGTTGGTTGGCCCACTTTTCCTTACCGTTTTCTAAGGTGGCCTCATTTTAGTTACTGTGGTATCCTCCACACATGCGCGACCATGTAGTGTTTACCTTTATGTCTTAGTACTGGTCGAATTTGCGCTTCTCAACCCGCTATCTTTTATTTGGTATCTTTATGAAAATTTTTGTCAACCGTTTCTTTCATACTGAATTCCCCATTTGGGGGTGTTGTCGTGAGCCGGATGATTCGATCCCGTTGACTAGACACATTTGCCATTATGGGTACTTTTCCACACAGTTGGCGGATGGACAGCGCGCTGCACTTCTAACGCGCTGCTTTTATGCATGTGCCGTTGCAAATGTCCCGTCGACAGTTTGCTGTTTACTTGCCGTATTTTTTCAATTTTTCACTCCACACTGTGGTGGACTATTTCTCTTGTTCACACTGGTGTCTTCACGATACCTTGAAGAGAAAGAAAGGCGTCAGCAGGATGTCGGCACATCATACGCACGTTTCACTGCGGCGCGGTCACCCACAGTTGCACGTGGACTGGATATACGGTGAGGTAGCCCGTACCCAGGCAGATTCGGACCAGTGACCTTTGGATTACAAGGCCGGCGTGCAATCCTTTCGGCCACCAACCGATTCCGAACATTACTGATGCATTCGCACACTTCCATTTCGCTTCTACCTGTGGTCCATGACAACCATTTTGGCCTTGTATTCTAGACTGTGGTGAGCCGCGGCCCGGTTTGGTTTCGCTTGTCACGCTCCAAACACATAAGGTACCTAAAGTATTAAATACATTTTAAAGGGTCGTGATGAGGTTTACCCACCTAACTTCGTACTTTTCCATGGGCAACGTTTACCTCAATGGCTTAATTCCCCACTCGGCTCACTTTTACCTGCGGAATTCAAACAATGGCTTGCTGGATCATTGTGTGTAATACCGGAAGCAGGTGACACCAAAGCATTTAAGGGTAAGTTGTCGGACTGTGGTGATCGGAAAACACTACGGCTACCTCCATATATTCAGACGCTCACTTGGGTTCTACGTGTGCATGCTACACAGTCAGCGAGCTCATTCTGAACAAACACTGCGAATCGCTGACTTTTAGAATTCAGAGGGATTTTTCAGTCGTCATTGACCTTGGATTATTATCTGTTGTGCACAGTCTCAGCCACAGTCTCACTCACTGCTATCATTTAATTTTATCCACCTCCCGATCAATCCGTGACGAACTCCGTCTTCTCAGGCTTTGATTCCACAAGCAGTTTCGTACTGTAACTGACGTTATGTTCGAAATTCCGCGATCCGTGGTTGCGGGCTAATATATTAGACGCTACGCTTGTGTGTCTTTTTCAACACACAATCTCATTTAAGATTGAGATTTAGCTTTGATCTGCATTTTTTCTACCTCAAGTTCAGTCAGCTTATCGCCGATAGTCAAGATGAGTACCATAAAGTCCACATGCTGTTGTCAAGGCGCCTTTAAAGTGTAGGCCTTCAATCACATGCACGGTTTCGTAGTCTCTCTGAGCACGTTTGTTTTTCCTTTTGTCAGTCCTCTAACCGCGGAACTCCAATCGATGCTACCCTTCCGCATCAGCCCCGAGGTGAGTACTATCCATTTCCTCACTGATTTCTGGACCTGAATTTGTTTGCTGTATTTCGGCAATTTCTTCCCACTGCAGTTACCCCACAGGGACGTCCTTCTCCGGCATCGAGCCCGATTGGGTCTCATCCAGTTGCATCGAGCGCGAACCACCATGATATCGCTCGTCGGATACAGCCCAAATCACTAGAACCAGATACTTTCAGTCCCCTGATCCATCAAGAGAGACTAGTTCCTGGAGCACCAGTTGGTCGTTTACAAGACAACCCTCACTTCAGGGGCGATGTCGGTAAGTTCTTGCATTTCATTTTACCTCTTTTGTGTGCGACCGCATCTCATCCTTTTGACGCATCGATTAGCCGCACTCCAAACACAGTGAATGCAGCTGGGTTACCAAGAACGACATTGAAAAGGTGGCAGTCTGCTTGCAAATCTGTGACAGAACACATCACTTTAAAGCTAAGAGACAATACGTGAGCGCATCACCGACAGTCTCTGGGCCACGTTGGTCACACTTCGCATCACCGGCACAGTTAAGCCTGCTAACGTTTCTGCAGATCCGTCGTCACCTTCTTATCGCTACCTTCTCAGGGTTCCTTCTGGCCGCCTTTAACTCTCAGGTAAAATCTTTATAAACAATTGCACCTTGGATACGCATTTAATTTAAACCGATTTCACTACCAACATTCTCGCTGCCCTTTGCACATATCAGAAGAGCTCCTTTCATCTGACGGCTAGCAAAGTCCAGTGTGAGAGAACACTGTGCTTCCACACGAAAACAGGATTTCGTTAATTGTAGAGACCCTTCTCAGAGCACCTCACATTGCACTGAGCTTTTGTATTAGTTTGATCCGGTTCATCAGCTGTCATCCATGCACCGAGATGTGGTTGATCTAGTTGACTTAACTAACGCCAGTGAAAATCAACGGCACTGATAATGTGCAATTATATTAAATAATGACAACTCGGGATGAATTTACTAAATGCAATGGTCGAATGGAATTGTTGAAAGCCAGCAGCAAATGGATTAGCGTAATGCACAACTGTCCTCGTAACCGCGTCATACCTAGTGGGGTGTCCGAGGCCATTATCCATTACTAGGACACGCGCATTAACTCGACTCTGCCGTTCCATCGATTTCTTTATGCTTTTCATTCACACCGACCTACTGGCTCGAAAGAGCCCAGCATATTTGTGACCAAACACCAGACGGCAGATTTCAATAGTACCCATTTTGGTGATCCCACCGAGTACGCGCAACGTTTTATACGCGTCGACGATCACACAGCACCAGTCTACATAAGTTGTATGTCCCTCGACTCTGCGACATTCAGTCTAACTAGGCGGTCTGATCCATAGGTACAACAGGGTCGCAAAGGGTAGATATTTGTCCAAATGTTTGCAAAGCATTTCCGTAATAATTTTTCTTGTCGCGCTAGAGAGACTAACTTGAAGGTAGGATAAAAGTGGTTATTGAAAAATTTCACGAAAAGTAATACGGCTATCCGTGGAACCATCACATGGGGACATGCTTCTGTGTGGAGTGGTCCCTCGAAAGATTTCATCCGTACTTCCGCGACTTTTGTGGCATAAAAGTAAATAAGCCATCACCATGTTAGCTCATCTGGGCCTTTGTTAAGTATAGAGAAAAATAGGTTCTCAGACAGAAGTATGCTCTTTTTTTACCATTTTAACCATTCAGGCCGTTTCGACACCCGACTCTTCCGAATCTGGGACTTTTGTTATTCGCCATTTCTGTGTCTATTTTACCTAGTGTGGGTGTTTTTTACTCACCAGTATGTCTATGGCAATTCACTTTACGTGGGGGTATTGATTACTTCAATAGCTTTGCTCCGTCATTTCAAGAGATCTACCCAGTCGTGGCCAACACTGGAAAAGAGAAATGTAGAATTTTAGTGAAATAAAGACCTAATACCTTCAGAGTGCGTTAGTCTTTACACAATAGCACTGCAGCGTTGTACGTTCCTCGCTTAGCCAATGAACTTACACACTATGTTCTCACATACCACTTCTCTGACGTACCACCTTTGACTTTGGTGTGAAATTCTCATGGATGCTGCCAAAGGGAAATATTACTTCAGATTACCATCTTTGTCCAAGTTGTATGCCACTTAGCATTTTTGGAAGGATGATATCATTTGGAAATTTTTGAATTTTTCACCCCAAAGAGACCTTCACTCGCGTGAGAACTCACTGCAGTTGTCAGCATCATGAGCTGATGGCTCACTGCATTTGAGTTCCACTTGTTGGCAATATCTTTTTCTTCTGCATTTTTACTGCCACCTTATTGCATTCTAATACGACACAATAGCTTGGGGTGTTTCTCACTCCTACTTACGGTGTAGAGTGAGTGGATGCCTTGTTTGTTTCAGCAGCTTCGCAACCGCTTTGCGCACCGTGGTTTGACCTTCACACCTTACAATACAGTTTACAAAATGTCGCCTCGACCGGCTTTTTACTTCCTTACAGCTTCTGTTCCCCTTTCTACACCCATCATTATCGATTACCATTCATTTTGGAAGGGAACGTGAATTGAAGAATCGATCGTGCTTGTCACTTATGAAATATGACATAAAGAGCCACCGCACAGTATGTGTAAGCAGATCTCATTGACGTCAGACAAAGTGCCACGAATCACCGTTCACCCTGGACCATATTACTTGTGAGGATGTTGCATAGCCGCAGCGTTTGTTGCTCCTTTCATCATGATTCGACAGAGTAGATCAAACCGCATTAACCTTTACATTTGGAACACTGTGCTCTGACTATCATTGACTGTTCGTGCCTAAACTTGCAGCTTACGATATCGCGCATGACATTCAGACATATAGCCGTCTCTGCCTATTTGTCATCTTTAGCCTCTTCTCCGTACCGATCCCTATATGTGGTTTTGCATTCTCTCGAACGCCCACTCTGGGTCCAGAGCAACAGTTTGCAGTTTGTCAAGGTGGATGGTTGGCTTTAGCCACCGCTTTCCGTCTCTGCACTTTGCGTTAGCATCTCCCTTCTTCCGCATATGTGAGACGCATGGAAGTGCCTTTCAACAAAACTCTGCATTAGAGCAGCATGGGAGTTGTCACTGGTGTGCGGCCTATCTTCGCACGATGGCAGACTATTTATGTCGACAAGGTATTGGCGCCCTGCTCCAGAATGCCTCCTCAGGGCATTTAATTTATATGTTACGTCCTATTTTCCTCTTATTGGGACCCTTTTGGCTGTTGATCATGTTTACAGTATCCAAGTATCCTGCAGTAGCCATTTTTCTCTACTGATTACGTTCTAATGTTGGGAGATCCATTTTTCATTCGTCAATTTGATCAAAATACCTATTGTTTTATTACTACCCGACGCGTGGTTAGGTCACTTCTTTGCCACCTGATTGAAACCTTATACCATCCGGGCTCGTTCGAATTTTTTCGAAATTCAATCCACCAGCATGAGTTGAACGGTGCTATCGCAGTGGCAGAGTATAACGTTTCGTTAGTGTCTTCGGTGATCATATGCTAATATAGCCGGAAAATTACGCATTAAATTGGTCCAACGTCTCAATATGTCGCTCTCAACTTGACGTTCTGTCCTAGATGCTCAATTTCGCAGATAAGATAGTGACTGAAGCACAGCTTGAACACTTGTAGGGATTGCTGTTCATTTTAACACCGATCATCGACGACCCATGCGGTCGGTTTAATGCTAAGATCGTGTATTTAGTCAATCCACTTTGTGTTGCTGAAACTAGAAAAGAAGAATTTTAACCAAGGGTCGCTGGGAATCGCCAAATAAACATGCATTCAAATGAAAAAGTGGTAATGACGAAATTTAGCAAATGATCAGAACTTGTCATTATGCAAAAACGAAATAATGCACACACTAGCTGTTTCGTTCGTGGTCTAACGGGTCGCGATAGCACCGAGCAAGCTAGAGGTTACATGATTCGTGAACTGAGATAGCTGCTGTTAACTAAATGGATTAGCGCGAAAATCCTGTCAGTTCTGCCCACGTGAAGCTCGGCTTACTCATAGGTATAATACATAAATAAATATGAAAAAATGCTCTCGACAACGCGACGCACGCCTTTACAGGCATAAACATAATAAGATAACAAAGCATAATCAAACATGTCCAAAAATATGTTTGCCGTATCAGTGCATGTTTGTGTAGGAGTGTATGTATCTATGTAATTGCTGTGTAGTTTGTGCTTGTAAGTGTGGCGCTGCATACTTGGCTGTTTGATAGTGTGGGTAGATGATTGATGTCCGTGAGTTGGATATGATTATCCGGATATTCACGGGGCAGTGCCTTTAGCTTGTGGCAAGTCACGACCACCACGTCACAGTGTTGATAAACAGACATTTATGGCTTTTATAAGGAGAATGCTTGCCAGACGGAACACTGCCGTCGAACTATTTGCGGGAACGGGTTAGACTCGAAACACCTAGCTTGCACCACGAGGAGGTCATTTTTCTGCTCCCAAACGCGCCTTATCAAACATTGGCATGTTGATTAGCCCAGCTTTTCGAGCCTATCTATCGTGAGCTAGCTAGGCAAAACCTTAAAGATACATTTGAATTTGTCGACAGGACACAACGTTTAATAGCAGAGATCAGACGCATAGCATCATTCGGTGCATCTCAGTGTTTACCAACGCACCATTGAGCGAGAGATTCTAGACATATTTGGCACTCACGCTGAGAAAGGGAGGTTTCCTACACTGCTTCAAATCGTCACTCCGTTTGCGCACAAAAGACCTTCAATTTCAAATCAATGGAACAGTTTGTCCGCAGATTGATAGCGTTAGCCATTGACAGTCCATTTAGGCCAGTCCTGGTCGATATTTTCATAAGCCACTTGGAAAACACTACATCGCTCGATTACATACAAAATATGCACTCGTATACTAAATACCTTAACGACGCGTTCGCCTTGCTTTACACTGTTCATCATGCAACGTGTCATCTTTATGTCCTAAATGAATGCCAACCTGTAGTCAAATTCAGCACGTAAAGCGAAATAGTTAATACATTTTACTTCCTGAATGTGAACGTGCAGAAAATCCAGAGGACACACCCATTTGATCTGCTTATGGCAATTTCACTTGGGCATGACAATATCTCCATTCTAACAGGTTTTGTTCTGTAAACTACAAATACCCGTAGGCTCACTCCGTCTTCGCGAGAGCTCGCAACATTTGCTCTAAAGATACGATCGACAATGAGCTATAGCACGCGTCACCAATATATATATATATATATATATATATATATATATATA